GGGGGGGGGGGGGGGTGCATACACGGAGCAGCAGCAGCACAGGATGGTGGGTGGCAGCGGTGGCCACCGTGTGTGAGCTTCCCTCCCTTCCCCCATCCAGTTAATAGAAATGCTGGTTACTAAAATGCCGGTTAACACAGGTATATCAATTTGTCTGTATTTCCGAAATGCTTTGTGGTACTTTTTCATTGAGTATTAACCAAAACCCCCCAGTTGTTAATCGACATGACATGTCTCTGGGATTTCATTTTTAAATAAAATGGGATCGTACTGGTTGACCATTTTTCAAAGGCTCTTTCTATTTGACATGCATTCTATGTGGCTGTCACAATGTTTAAGTACAAGGCAAAATAAAAAAAAAATCTTTAGAACACTGCAAAAAAGCTTTAGAAGTCTGTCAAGCAGCACTACTTTTGGGAGGGGGGAGGGAGTGGTGTTTTCAAAATACTTGGCAACTTTAATTTTTTCTTTAAAACAAAAACTAGAAATAAACTACTTTTGCAGATGTTCCAATTGAGACAAATTAATGCTTTAGGTGTAGATATGATGAAAAATTTGGCGTAACATAAATTAAAGCTAAAATATTTCGAACTAAGGGTCTAAAGTTAAACTCTTGAATTGGTATCTGTTTACTAAATACAAGGGGCATGATTTTCAAGGGGCTATCTATTTGGAATCTCCCACTGACATGGCTGATATTGCTTAACATTTTTAATCAGGACATTTTATTTAGGTATCAAAATTCACATTTAAGGATTTAATTTTTAGCAGTCAGTATAAAGACTTTGGTTCAGTTCATTATAGAACTAAATAAACTTTACACACACACACACACACACTGAAAACTTCCTATAATTAATATAATCTTTCAAAATTTCTTTTCTGCTGAGATATGAAGAGGCAGAAGATGACTGTACTCAAGCTTTACTGTTAGATGCATCCTATTCCAAAGCTTTTGCCAGAAGAGGGACTGCTCGAGTAGCACTAGGAAAGCTAACAGAAGCTATGCAAGGTGAGACCTTATATGAAAGTAAATGTGATGGGTTAGGTACTACATGTAGATTTGCTCCCCCCTCCTTCCATATTTGCTTCTTTAAATTTTCAATAAATATTAAAGCCAATTTGGAGTAGAACATTTCTGCAATAAAATGCATGTAATCTCTTAATTCTCTGCCTCCATGCACACACAAATGATTTTAAGTTAGAGCATTTTAAGTTAGACTGCATTTGAGTAATTTATGTGAAAATTAATTAAAGCAAGTCGCAATTATTCAAGAATATGTACACTTTAAAACTAGGAATTTTGGAAGTAAGTTTATATTTAAAGAAATTCATGAATGTTAAATACATGAAACTTGCACTTAAATAAGCCTGCCTTCTACTGAGAAATACTTTGGTCTTGTTTAGTGTAAGTAACTTTTACTGTTTGCAGTTCTCCTTTGGCTGAAAAAAAACCAAAACAGCTATTATTTCAACTCCCATTTGTTGTTTCTTTTAAAGTTTTAAGCAGTTTTTTTAGATTTTTGTTTTATATATATTTTTTATATTTCTCGCCCCTCACCACAGAACACTTGCAACAGTTTGGATGCACTAACTACACTTTTCCTCTTAAGATTTTAAGTGTAAAATTTCATTCATACTTCAGGGAGAAATTCTGATTTGCTACCTAATTGAAAAGTAGAATGGAAAATGGAAAAAACAATCATGTTAAAAATAATTCCTGACAATTTGTAACTTGACATTTTGTGTATATTATTTTTATTCACTCAGATTTTGGAACTGTTTTGAAGCTTGAACCTGGCAATAAGCAAGCAATAAGTGAACTAAGTAAAATAAAGAACGTATGTATTCCTGTTAATAATTTTCTATTTTGTAACCATTATTTGCAGTATGATTTTTACTTTGTATCCATTAGTAATATTTAATGACTCAACTTGAATTTTTGATCACCTGAACACTTAACTTTAAGGAACTGGTTGAAAAAGGCCTATGCACCCAACTGGAATGTCCTGGAACATCAGCAACAGAAATCCCAAACCTGGTGAAACCCATTGATAAACCTTTACATCTTAGATCAACTGTAAGTAGAAAATAATACTTACTTGCAAAATGGTATATGTGGAATAAATTGCCGTATCTCACCTGTTCATATATTGTAGATGATTCTAACATAGTTTTATGAGAATTCCTGAATTTACAAATGCCTGTCTCTTTTTTTAACATAATAAAATATGCTTTTTGCATTAGGTATATTTTTTGAATAAACTTTTTTTCTCCAGTTTTGAAGGCAAGAGTTTTTACAGCAGTTTGTGCAAATGCAGACCATACAGATATTAAATGCACTTATTTTAATTTAGCAAATAACATTTTTGATTCCATTAATTATATTTAAAACACATTTCAGACTAATTGTAGTTTAAAATTTGATAATATCTTTTTAATTTAAGTATTGGATTAATCCAAATGCTTTAGAAAGTATCCTTTTATCATTGTAAATTACAGTTCATTTTCACAGTAAAATGGTGTGTTGACTTCTTTTTTCAGCTCAAAAGCTACATTGCTTGAAGTTATTAAATCGGTGGTCCTTAGCCTTTTTTAGACTTGAGGCACCTCTCACTTTTTTTCACTATAGAAAAATAATAGAGCAATTCTTCTGCTGTGAATAACTCATTCTGACTTGTTGTGGTCCTGTTCTTGATACTGTGGAGTCCTACTGACATGTCTGTGTTTATCTTGTGAATTATGTTTGCACACTTAACAGTGCTAACACTGCATGGCACCCCATGGCACCCTTGAAAGGATCTCAGGGCAACCTAAAGTACTGTGGCACCCTGTTTGAGAATCACCATACTAAATATAAAATAATTTGGCCTTCATAGTTCTATTATGATTAAACAAATAAAAAATTCATAGTCCCATTCTGCTTTCTTTTAATTGTGCCAGCAGTGCAGTGTAGGAACCATCTGCAGGTGATTAGAACCAGGTAGGTAGGTCTTCTGGAGACTGGTAGCTGACATTTTAATTTAATCCAGTGGTGAGACTAGATCTTAAATGTTGGGACCAGAACATATTTGTAGCTTTGAAAGCAAAACAAAGAGTGGTCAAGTCTTGTATTTTTGCTGCTTTCTCTATTAGTCAGAATATAGAATTTGATTGGCTGATTGCCTGATAGTATATAGGTTAGATCAGAAATCAAAGGATAAAATATTTCACAAAATAGTAGAAGTATAATGTAAAAGTATGAAACCAGAATAAAGAAAGTCAGCAACTTTGAGGGAAGGATGCACCATGATACAGAGTAGCTCTCAATTGTTTAACAGCAGAATTACTACAAGTGGGTTGCACTAAAGAGCTGGAGAAGTGATAGGGGTGTGGAGCAGTTAATCCTACCTCTCTTCCCCAAACTTTCAAAGCACCATGCTGTTGTCTTACCTTAGTTCTATAGGCAGGCTAACTACCATATTTACTTGAATACAAGACAAGGCTTTTCCCCCCAATCAACATGGGGAAGGAGAGAGCCCCTTCTTTTACATTTGCATACAAGAAAACCTCATTAAATATGTTGTCCATCATTAAACTGCTGCCAGCAGCAGCATGTGCTCAGTAATGGAAACCAACTCTGAAGCTGATTCAATGCAGCCAGCACTGAACATGACTATAAAACGCATGGCCCATATTGGGCAAACGTGTAACTTTTGTCTTCCTCCTTTTGACCAGGGAGTCTTCACCATAGAAAGCAAAGTCCTCCAGCCTGGGTTCAGCCTCCACCTCCCGGAGGCATTTCCAGAAATATGCTGTCCTCAGATATTCTGCTGGGTGTGCGGGATGTTAGTTTCTGGATTCCTTGTTGTTCAAACAAGAAGTCCAAGGTTATTCCCGTCTCCCCAGGATGCCAACACAGAACATACACGTGTTTCTTTGTTTGTCCATCACTTTTGTAAATTCTCTCATCCCAAATTGTCCAGTCCTCTGGCTCTGTACCAGGCATTCCTTTTATGGTGCACCAATCCCCTGGCACTGTCAGCCACATTCCTAATAGGGAAAGTGCTGTCTTTTGCTCACCTAGTGCCCAATCACAACACTCACATTTTCCAGTGCCACAGAAGGTGCTCTGTTCAGTGTTGTTGCTTAGTTCTGGGAAGTCCTGGACAGTGTTTAGCATAACTCAGTTTGCCCGCTACACTGCTCTCTTTGCAACATCAGCATAGCTCTCCATGTTCTGGATCTCCCAGGTGACCTCGGGAACCCAGAGTCCAAAACTAAGATAGCTGTCCCCGCTGCTGCAGGTCTTCCATTCTGGTAAGAACAGCCCCTCAATCCACACTTGATTTTAGTCAACAAGAGCCCAGGAAACATACCTTTTATTTAAAAAAATAAATACATTTTTTGTGTTACAAGCCAAATCAAGTCCAAATCCATGAGTCAGTCCAGAACCATACGTGGCCCTACAACAGACAAACATCCTCCACCCCCACCAAGGGCTTCATATCTTTCCAGCGTCTTATGGCAGGCATCCTACATGCAGGCCCAAGCCCAGAGACTTGGGGTTCAGATGCCCTCAAGTTTTGCTAGCCCTCAGCCATATGGCCACAGGGGCAAGCTAGGGAAGAGACTCCTGTTTCTGTAAAATGGGCTTTAAGCCCCAACACCTTGGTGGGTACTAAACAATGCCAGAAGACCCATTATCCTGGAGAGGGCTTACCTACCAAAAGGGTAGGTTAGTGCAGTCCATCTGAATAAGATGTATGCTAGTGCCCATTGTGCTTCACCCCTCTCAGCAGTGACCTTTTCAAGTCGGTGTGCCGCTACATTGAATACATTTTAACTTCTTTGTTCCCACAGCTGAGTTGTACCTTTCTTTCCCCTTTCCAATTATTCCTGTTTCTTCACCAGCATTAAATGTTTGGTAAACCTCACCAAGCAGGGCCCCAAACAGTTCACCCAGAATCCCTCTATCACTCTGTCACATATGGTTAACATGGCCTTGCCCTCCAAGAGGTGAAGCTGGACCAGGTTGCCCTGTGCCTCATCTTCATACACATTTTTGGAGGATCCCAGGCCTTGTGACAAGAACAGTGAGTTCCAGTCATGCATGGAGGCTAATTACCACAAAGATTCTTTGTAGGGGGTATCTGGAGTGCACACATAGTTGAAAGAATAGACTGCTGGTGCCCAGCCCAGTGAAATATATAGTAGATCTTAAGCCTTTTGGCTTTGGGCTAATATCATGTATAGTTGCAAGTAGGATTCCCGCCAAAGGTTTTGGAAATATCTGAAGCCCCAGGTGCGGCTGGAGGTTGTTTGTCAGTAGTAGGGCCACTTATGGTTCTGGACTCTTGGATTTGAAATTAGTTTTGACTAATATGGCCTCAGATACAAGTTTGTTTATTCTTTAAATAAAAAAGAAAAGTTTGTACTGTATATAAGTAAATACAAAAGAATTGCTTAAAAGTGTATTTATGGAATACCTGTCTTAAAACTTGCAGCAGTTTCAAGAAAGGCAAAATGCATCAATTCTGGATGAACTAAGTCTATGTGTATCTGTAGTAATATTATGCAAATTACTACAGATAAGTTTATTTCAAGGTCAGTGTTTTCATATTTGCACCTCACTTCCACATGCTCAGGGAAAGCAGGGTTTGACAGGAAGGGATGCAAACTGGGGGAAAAGGCTGCAGAAGGAAGAAGTTGTGGGGTGGGGAGTGGCAGAGGGCAAGGGGGATACCTGACCCTTCAGATTAATTTTTTTCCTTGCTATAGCAGTGGGAGGAGGACAAATTCAAGGCAAGCCTCCAATAATTAGATTCTATACCTAGAAAATTATAACAAATGTTATAAAATTTCTGTGTGTAGAATCTAATTATTTGGGGGTTGTCTTATATTCAGGATCTTCTTATATTTGAGTAAATGTGGTAGCTCTTCTCAGGTAGAGCTAACATGCCCAGGTGCAGTGCTGTATGCACATGGCTATGCTGCTTTCATTCTGAAGTCAGTGTGTACAACAGTTTTTTGGGTCATGTAGAGTTCTGGTATCACTGGAAAACATGCTAGTTGAACCACAAGTGAGGAAGGTTGTGCGGCTGTGCTGGTGAAGGAGTCCGACCGTGGAATTAGAAACATTTAAGAACCAGTGATCTAAGGTAGGGAAATCATAGCAGGAAGAGAATATTGACTTTCATTTTATGATGTTATAGATGCATATTATAGTATAAAAAACAAATTCTCAGAACTTATTTGTAAGGTATCATTTAGCCCCAGTCCATACTAAGTCATAGTTCTGGGATTTTTATCGTTATTTACAGCTTTTGAAGCTTTGCTTGGAATGAAGTAGAGTGTGTTACTGATTTTGGGTATTTGTTCTGTTTAGAAACCTTTGACAAGGATAGTCATTGAAGAAGTTGATGATAGTGATAGTGATTTACCTAATACTACTTCTGTAGTCAGTAATCGGATTAACTCTACATGTGTAGAAGCAACAAAGAGTTCAAACCAAGATGATCTCTTAACCACAACTGATACTCCAAAAGCAAAACAGCTGAAAATAGAAGAAATTAGTGATACACCAGCCATCCAGTGAGTATAACAACTTGTTAGTAGTCTCAGATTTGATAATTATGCATGGGTAACCTTCCTTTTTGAATGTATTCTTGCTTTTTTTGCCCATGACTGAGTAACTTATTAGAGCTTCTACTCAGATGTAGTCATAATTGAAATTTGACAGTTTAACTCCTTCCTGATTAGTGAGTAATCTGTGTACAACCATTGGAATTTGCTTACCAGAACATTATAAACAGCAGTATGGGCTGGAGGTACCTGAACTAGCTCTAAAACCAGAAGCAGCATAGCCCTGTTAGCACAGTGCTGCAGCCTGCCCTATAAGCTTGACTTCTAGCAGAACCAATTATTCTGGGTGGAGATTGTACTAACGTGGTTATGCTTCTTCCGGTCTGGAACTAGTATATGCAGAGCTAGCTTGTCTATATCTGCATGGTGCTTTTTGGGTCATGTAGAGTTGGTACAACAGCTAGCACATTCATTTCTAGCTTGGGGTGTCTTTGCACAGGCAGGCACTCTGTGAGACCTAGGCTGCAAACAAACATTGCCCTTGCCATGCCGGAAAAATTTGCATGGTAGCATAAAACCTGAGCAAACAGACGTGAACCCCAAATGTCCAATAATGGCGGCATGAACAATTTCTTGTAAGAGTTTATGCAGCTTTATCAGGGGAAACATCTGTTTGCTTACGGTACAATTTCCAGGCAGGCCAGGGATGCCTGTTCTCCAGCTGCCCCAGGCAGGCACTTTCCAGGTTTCAGGGACTCAATCCTGCAGAACAGAGGCTGATGGCAACCTGAGGGTGGCTTGGGTCCCATGCATTGGAGTCAGGAACCCAGGGCTGTTGTCCTAGAGTACCAGACCCCCAAAGCTCTGGGAGTGGCAGAGGCCCAGTCCTGCAAGACAACAGCCCTGGATGATGTCTGTCTGTACTAGTCAGTCTGATCAACTGTGCCAGGACAGATACCAGTACAGCTGGTTCCGCCACAAAAACAACACCTGGTTGTAGCCCTAGTAATTCAAGGGGAAGTGTGAGCCTTTGAGATTCAGGTTGACAAACTGTTCTTTAATTTTTTTTTCTCAGGTGTATCTGAGAAGTTGTATATAAAATATGTTTCAATTTCTCCATTTTAACTGAGTGATGGGTTCTAGGTAGGGTTCTGAAGTGCTGGGTTTCTCCTTAGCACAGTTGGAGAAAGAAAGGGACCTAACAAAGATGTCTTTTTTTTAAAACCACTGTTTCTCCAGTTATGGAAGCAGCTGGTAGTTTCAGGTCTACTCGAATTTCAGTTTACAGCTAAGAACTCTGGAAAGGGTTGCATGTTGACTAGACTCTTTGCTGGAATATCTCCAGAGCTGGCTGTAGGCAAGACTGGGTGGCAGAGAACCAGCTATCCATACCAGCTTTATTCCATCCATGTGGTGAGACTTTCAGATTGGCTGTTCAAGACAGCTTTTGATTGGCTTTGCCTCATGAACATATGTTAGTAAGATGACAATACTGCTTCTCCTTTCTTACATGATTTAACTGCCAGGAAGATTTTTTGTGAACTTTTTCCTCTCTAGAAGAGTCAAATGGATTTGGTAGGCAGTGTTTAAGACCCAAGTGTGTTGTTGTGGCCATGTTTTAACCTCTGAAAATAAGCTGATTGAAATGACAGATAAATTATAGGATAACAAATGGCTACATTGTAATCAGTGTTGAAAATGTTTTACATTTGAAAGGTTTATTGTTTTGTATTATGAAATTGCCAAGCAAGTTATTTTTTTGTGCAGCTGTGGGAGGTGCCAGTGTATTTTCAATGGTAGAAGATTCTATTGTAAACATTTTAAGTTATTTCTGGAAACAGCACAGATGTAGCATGCTTAACACACATTTGTAGACCAGGGGTATCATGTTTTAACAAATTACTTGCAGAACTATTTTATTTGTTTGTTTATTTAGAATAAACACATTAAGTATTTTCAGTTTTGCTTTTACTATACAGTTTTGGAAATACGTTTTATTTATTATCTCTTTGCAGACCTGTTAATGAGGTGAAAGAATTTACATCACCTGCACCTCAGTTTTTCAATCTCAAAAAACACATAGAAAAGGAAAATGAAACATTACCTCCAATATCCACATCTCCTGTTCCTGCAATCCCAGCAAATTCATTTCAGCTCGAATCTGATTTCAGAAAATTGAAAGGCTGTCCAGATAAGATGTACTTGTACCTAAAGGTAAGAGAAGAATTCTTTGACTGCAATGGTTCTTGAAGAAATAGTCCATATTTATGTTGGTAGGATGACCAATCAAGGTCTTGAGTGACTTATTTCTGTAGAAGTTTTATTTTAAATGCTGTTATCACAGTTCAGAGTGCTTTGGACTCCATGTGAAACTAATTTGCATTCTAAATTTGACTGTTTCATTTGACATTTTTGGTGTAGTGTGGAAGAATCTTATTTTTTATCCTTCTCTTCTAATTAAGCCTTAGTTCTGTAAATACATTCACTGTGAATTACTGCAGTGCAAGTAAGTTACTCATATATATATTTGTAGTCTCAGAATGACGGTAGAAAGAGTGGATCTAGGATTTGTAAAAAGAGGTGTGCAGTCACACAGTGGGTATCCAAGTTATTTGGCTTTGTAGGCCAGATCCAGACCATGGGGCTTCTTGCAGGCAGGATGACATCTTTGGCAGCAGCTTGTCAATGCGGCTGCCGGAGCTGCTGTGTTGGCTTAGATCCGAAACCCAGGTATTAAACATCACAGTAACTCACCCCTTTCTGACCCCCAGCCCACTTATCCCCTGCTACTGATTTTAGTTGTCAATGGTAACTGAAAATCTGTCCTTGAACAGTGCTAAGGAATACCAGCGTTCTAATCCTTAGGTTAGCTACACACACGTTTAAATGTGTTTTAGTATTTTTATTTTTTTTTACACAAAAAAATGTTTAGGTGTTTTGCATTTAAAAGAGATGTTTAACAATTATGTATCTTGAAAAAAGTTAAACTAAAACAAGATTAGACAGATGTATACTAGTTAAGACATTCTTGTTTTGTTTGCTTGCAGCAGCATCTATGATATGGTAGGCACTAAAAAATATTTGAGAGAAATGGATCTTGCTGGAAGAGCTTTATATTCTAATTCTTGCAATTCCTGTAAATAACCGTATGTTTTTCTTCCAAAGCAAATAGAGCCTTCGCTTTATCCTAAACTGTTCCAGAAATCATTAGATCCAGATGTATTTAACCAGATTTTGAAAATTCTGCATGATTTTTACATTGAGTAAGTTCAATTCCTCCCTCATTCTCCTAGCAATTTATATTGCTTACTATTTATAGTGTGGTTAATATCTATAGCATGTAATACCAGTTTACCAGGGTATGGTTATCTAAATGCTTTAAATAATTATTCTTCAAGAAACTAAAAGCATGTTTCAGAAAGACTAGGAAATGAAGACTAAGAATGAAAACAGACAATGAAATAAGCTTTTGTGACTAATTTTAAGTTGTTCTATCAGTAATGGGCTGTGCCATATGAAATTACATTTTTGTCCAATGTTTATTGGCCAGAAAACTGCACATTTGTACCCATCACGTTTCATGAGTATGAGCTAAATTACTTTATGGGCCCCTTGTGGTGTGTACAATGTTTTGGAATTCAGTTTATTTCCTTTTCAATCATACTGTGATCTGCACAGAACACTTGATTGTAGCAATTATGGAAATTTAGGAATGGACATCTTAACAGCTAAGTACTTATCTTTTGGAAATTTAACATTTTTTGCATGTTAAATAATCTGACACTCCCCTAAATTACTGTGGCCTCAGGTCACAAACTTTTAAAACTAGGCATTTTGTTCTCCTATGTAGAAAAGCAGGTGAAAATGAAACGAGATTTCAGAAGGCAGGGCAGGGGGAAGAGTTCAATAGCAAAATTATGGCCTAAGCCAACAATAAATGACGTGGGAAATTGTTCCACAAAAGGAATCGTGTCCTTCATTCAGTGGAACTGCCTGTAAAACAGCTATTGTATAGAACTGATGAGGCAGAAAATTAAAACCAGTTTTTAAAGGATGAGAAATAAAAGATGGTTTAAAGGAAAATATAATCTGTAGGCAGTATTGCTGTTGAAGGAGGAAGTATATGTAAGCACCTTTTATGGTGAAAAATCTTATAAAACAAAATCAAAATCATTGGGATTTTCCTTACAATTGGTAATGACTGCAACCATGTAGGCTAAGTACAGACAGTCAGAAAGCTCCAGGCTGAATCCATTTAATCTTTGCAGGTTTCTCTAAACTGCGTAGATTGAACTGGTAAGCAAATGAACTCACATTCACTTTTGAAGCCAGAAAGGCAGCCAGACTTGTGCAGTGGCCTATACCAGTAGCCAGGGGGCTACAGAACATGCCCCCCAGCCTGCTGACCACTGCCAAAAGCATCTAAATGCAGCTGAGCAGGACTTATCTTTGATTGGCTGCAAACCCTAGTGTGCCCCACTCCCCAGGGGATCTGGGACAGAAGTTCCATTAACCAGTTTCATCTCAGTCATCTAAATCTGATACTACATCCAACCAGGTTTGTCTTAAATCAGTTTCTGATCATTTAAACTGGTTTATATGTAACTTCTGCACCTAGCCACAGTCAGCTCACTGTTCAGATAGCTGCACTCATGCTGGTAGATGGTTAACATGCACCTTTTTCCTACTGCTAAAATAGCCTGGATTTACAAATTATGTAGCTCATGTTATGTAGATGTCAGTAGCAGCAAATCATATTCATTCTTCCCAAGAAGGCACCATAATTAACACTTCTTATCCTAACATGAGTGTCTTAGCAAAACTGTAGCTAGTATTTTAAGTGAAGTTACACGTTGCTTCCTTTCTTTGGTTGAAAAGAAAAGCAGCTTGATTTTTCTTTTCAATTTTGAGTGAAGATTGAACTCTCAAAGATGCTTACTCCAGAAAGATTCACAGAGAAAACCGCCACCAGTGTTTTGGGTAGTGAAATTCAGAAACCTGTGACAGAGTGTATAGGACAGAGTGTATAACTTGTGTATAATCAGTTTTTTTAAACTGTAACAAGATCAGGTCCTCAACTTCTATCCATCTGTCCTTTGTATACCTTCGCTTTTATCCTCTACCACCAATGCTTATATACAAAGTAGTTTTTTAGAGTTATCTGGTCTTGTAATTTGACAGTCCTTGTCACGTTTGAATCTTTCTAATCAAGAGTAACTTTTATGTATTTAATAATCCATCTGTTATTTTAGGAAAGAAGAGCCATCCATCACACTTGACATTCTCCAGCAGCTGTCTGAATTAAAAAGATTTGATATGGCAGTGATGTTTATGTCAGCCTCTGAGAAAAAAAGTAAGTACAGAATAATAAAAGATTGTTTTTGTCAAAGTTGAACCCTTCATTGTAGAATCTAATAACAAAAACAGAGACACTAATACAGAAGATCAGTTTTATTAGGCAACCTCCTGTCTAGTGAAATTCCATTCAGCTATTCCCAATCCTAAATTAATTGTACACTACCTTTATTTAGGTCATAATCACTTTTTAAGCAACCATTTTTACAATATGCTGCACTTAAGACAAGTTTGTTTATACCATGAATTGCTTTTGAATTTATGTAAACAAAAAAGGTTAACATGTAGATGTCTGCTCCTCTTCCCATTGCTGTTTGGTTTTGGGGGGTTTTTTACATTAAATAGTCATTGGATAAATTGTATAAGCACCTTTGGAAGCTGGGGACAGAGGCCAAAACCAAACTTTTTCTTCTTCCCTAGGCAGTGCGCACATCACTGGGCTAGTGTCAGGTTCCTTCTTGTTTTTTCCCTTTGCCCCCTCATCTTTTTCCCTCTCAACTCCTCAATGGGTCAGCTTCAAGATAAGGATGAAAGATGTATTTGGTTCTGCCTAGCCCATGGTCTGGTACTTGAGCACTCTCCTAGGAAGTGGAAGATAGGGGTTAAAATCCCCAAAAGTATCCAACTAGTATCCCAAGTATCCCCAGTATCCCACTCGCTAGTTCCCTGACCACTAGGTGGTTGTGCTAAAAGGTCAGTGAACCTTCCATCTTTGCACAGAGCAGATTAAGACCCCAAAATTGCATAAGTGCCCCTTACTGAAACTTCATGCATCCTAAAGATGGAATAGGAGCTGGCCTCAGTATTTAACATCTCCTTAATATCCAAAATAACCATGAGGCTTTATTCTGGTTATTACAGCTAACTTCTTCATTGTTCAAAACATTTTTACTGTTAAATATACTCCAAGTGTTGTGACAACTGCAACTGAAACACAAAGCAGTTGTACTTAGTAATCAGATTGGGGAAGAAACCTTCACAATCTTGGAGATACTTAGCTACTAATTTGAGTGCAAAGTATAGCTTTAAATATTACTTACTACTGTAATATCAAAGCAGTAAAAGCTTGATTTGGAATAGTTTAGAGCAGGGGTGGGCAAAATATGGCCTGCAGACTGGATTTGGCCTGCCAGGCCATTCTATCCAGTCTGCGGAGCCCCTACAAAATTTGGCAAATTAAAATGTATTTGCCCTAACTCCCTGTCAAAGCTGGCTGGAGCCAGGGGCAGTAGGACCCAGAGGGAGCCCTCAGCAGGCTTGCAGGCTTGAGCAGCCCTGCCCCACCCACATCCAGTCAGTTCCCTGCTTTCCTACCCCCGCCCTGCTCCAGCATCAGGTGGCTGTGGCTCCCAGCTGCATCCCCGGACCATGGAGCATGGGACTGTACTGGTAGGGGTGTGTATGTGTGTGTGCACATGTGTCTGCAGGCACAGGGGCAGAGTGCGTGTGTGTGCACGCAGGCACAGGGGCAGAGTGTGTGTGTGTTCATAGGGTGAGTCCATATGCACAACCCTCCATACACATGCACCTGTGCCTCCCCTTGCACTGTCATACACAAAACCCAGCCACCCTCCCCCCATACCCACAGCCCCCACAAACCTATACCCACCCCCCACAATATACAAGAACAAGACTTCATTTTAAGCTATTGTGTAGTCACCTCTGTGTACACTACACAAACATGTAAATCAGAACAAAAATATTTTTTGAAATCAAATTAATGGTGTAGACGATCAGTTTTTAGAATATAATTTGGTATTTTTGTGGTTCTGAGATAGCAAAACGCCTTGCTGAAAGGAGTACTTCCGGGGGCGAGGGGAGGGACTTCTGGTGGCAAAGGTCAGGGGTTAGGGGGTGGGACTTCTGGTCACAAGATGATGACCAGGGGACAGGGCACCTGTCAAGGGGTAGGGCTACCCATGCGGCCCTTGACAACCTGCCAAAACTCAGTAAGCAGCCCTCTGCCTGAAATAATTGCCTGCCCCTGGTTTAGAAGGCTGCATTGGGGACCTGGGCTTATCATTATAGTTAGTAGCACCATCACCATTTAGAGCCACTTCTTGACAGCTGTAATTTTCTACCATTAGCATAGGATTTGTAACATGTCCTATGCTAGTGGATGGTTGCTACAGTGAAGCAGAGCTCTTCCCTATGGCAGACTTGAGTGTTATTATACCTATTATATTTTTACATCTTAACAAAAATACAAGTATGTTTGAATAACATTTCCTCCTTAGAGGCACTTGTTTTCAGCTTTTTTTAGTTCTGTTAACTGTTATTTGGCTTGTTACTTTTTTAGTATATTTTCTCTCTCTCATAATTTGTATACATCTTTATTTTATGCCAGTTTTGTCATCTGATGCAAACTTATTACCTTCTTCATTTAATGGCACAGAGCTGAGAACCTCTGCGTTGTTTATTTTCTGTCATCAAGAATTAGGTTTTGGCCGACTACTTGTTGTCTGTTGTTCACTGCATGATGCACGGTTTCAAACAAAGTTCTTAGCTACTACTGTTAGATGTTTCTCTTTCAGTTTAAGAGAATATTTAATTTTAGAAGCACTATTTCAGATCCAGAATTCAAACCTCATCCCTCAAAACTACCATTTTAAGAGTGATTGACTGTTAACCTTTAGCCCATGAGTTACAAAATAGGAAGTCTGAAAACTAGAAGGTCATGTTAATTCTTTTTTCTTTGTTACAGCTGTACATGCATTGTTCAGTCACTTGAACCAGTCAGGATTGAAGGATAATTCTGTCGAAGAACTAAAGAAGAAATACGGTCTTGGTTATTAATAGGCTTACTAATGTTACATATTTTTATATGTAGTTTAAAGTAATTATCCACATTTTTTGTGAGCACCTATATAGAAATTGGTGGGGAGTTGCATCCATAAAGACTCGAGTTGTGTTTTATAATAAAATCCTTACACCTGCTTTATCCAAATGGCGAGTGCCTGAAGAGGATAATGTCCTGGGTCCTGATTCTGCAATTATGTCTGCTTGTTGACCTTTCACCCATACAGGAATCCATTGGCTTCACTGGGACTCTGCCCAACAGAAGGGTCTGCTTGTATGGATTGTCTTTCACAATCAGGGCCATCAATTGAGTTGTTGCTGAAAAATGCATTTGTTATTTATAAACGTGTCCTTTTTTGTAAGAATCAAATGATTTTTTGATTATTATTAAAGATCAGCATGAGTTAATTTAGAAAATATACTAAATGCTTAATTGAAGTTACCAACAATGTTGACATTCTTTAACAAATACTTTATAACATTTTTCTCAAAGATAAGCTATTAGTATCTCAGTATTTCTGTGAGGTATGTATTTACAGAAGTGTGTATTTTCACTAATGCCAAGTGGCAAATATGATTCTAAATCTGCTTAGCATCTGAGGGCTAGAGAATTCCAAAACTATCTTTTTGATCATCTCAAAGGCTTTGTTTCAGGAACCAATAAACAAGGTGCCCCCAGTGAATCTTAGCTGGTGTAGCAAAACAGAAGGAATCACTCTCAAATGAGCAATTCATACACAACATAAAGATTTTAAAGAGATTAGCACTTTGTTTTGCATATGAAGCTGAATGTGTACATGGGGGAGCTCCCAGTCTTTTATATCTATTAACCCATCCCACTTATAAATACAGTGGTTCAGCTTATGAGGCTTGTCAAGGGCTGTTATAATAGTAATCCAGTATAGGAAGACCTGACATTTAGTGAGATATGCATGAAAAGGTGGGACAAAGCAGAATGGCTTGTAGTGCCTATACTGCTTGCTTGTAATATATATAATTTGGACCAGGACAAGACTTGGCTTAGAGAATGCCACAATGGAAGCAGTACTAAACAAGTATAGACTAATTTTGCAGAAGTATGCCAGCGTCTATCACTGGGCTGTAATGAAAGCATTTTATACTATTCTTCATCTAACTTTTATTTATATATATATATATATAAAACTTAGGTAAGTGCACAGAACAGAATTGGTCTAGGAAAGAATGCAGAGATAAGGAAGATTCTGTATTCAGCACTACCATTTTAGAGAGAGAGATTGATTTGCTCAAAATTAAGGCGGAAGAGTTATAGTGTTTAGAAGAAACTCAGATGTCCACATCAAATTTAACTAACATTTTTCTTCTCCCACTAAATCTGATGTCCCAAGAAGCCTAACTCAGCTATATGGAACCTGTAAAGGAGGATATTAACAGATGTTGTGGTCCAGGTCATACAAGAGCTAAAGAATAGCAACTAAGATGGATCCTCAATATGGCCCAGGCACCCCCTGACACGGTTGGGGGATCAGGATACAATGGTGACTTATATCACACTGCTTGATTCTAGAGCTTGCAGTCACTTGTGTAGCTTATGCCAAAGTGCCCTCTCAGAGCAGTAAATATATATCTTCTCTACAAGCTTAATGGACCCGATGTGCTTGTCTACATTATGAGTAAGTTTTATCGTCGTATGCCATTCTTCCTGTAGGATCCCATATCTTTTACCAGCACTCTCCAACTGGTGACCCCTGGGCTTCTGCCTGGCCACCACTTCCACAAGTACTCTGACTGCAACAGCAGTCAGTGTCTCCAGGTTTCCCCTCCCTCCTTCAGCTGCTGCTTCCTGCCTCTGTTCCAGGGGATGGGACAATGTGGGGCACTATGTGAGACCACATTGTGGTGGAGGAGAAAGGGTGGAAGGGTCCCCATGTGGTGTTGGGGGGTCCCCCCCCCATTTACTGTGTGGTCCCAGGCCTTGTTTGCAAAACACTTTCAGCGCAAATTGTGCTCTGAGGTTACTTGCATATGACACATTACCGGCATAACACATGGGGGGGGCAAATTAAAGTTGCACAGGCAAGCTTAGTTCTGACATTTCTGAACTTATAAGTGGTTGACCTTTATATTTATCAGTTAACAAATAAGCAACATGTTGAATATTGATGGGTAATGACTTGATTTCTTCACTTTTTTGCTGCATTCATGTAAACTAGGATAATCAGATTATATCAATAGCAAAGGTTACAGTTACTGCTTTTGCTCTATCTAACTGTTACTTAAAGGTATGGTTGTTACAATCCTTTAATGCAGTGCAGGCCAACAAATTCAGCTCTGCCCTTTTCCCAAGTGTCTTCCCGATTCTCCACTTCTGCCCGATTTGCTGCTGCACCTTCTGTTCCTGACTTACTGCTCTCTGCCCAATCTCCTACTCTGCTTTTTGCCCTATCTGCTTTGGTGCTGTTTGTCCCCTCCCTGAGCTGCTGCACTCCACAGAAGCTGCCCTTGTCACCTGTGGGACTTGTGAGGCAGGCTGGTCATCCCTGCTTTAATGTTAGATCTCTTGCCTGCGTAGTTGAGCTTTGGTGAATGTTCCTTTCCTGACTAATGTAATTACTACATTGTAGGAAATACAGCATTGTTAGTTTGTGTACAACAGGCAGGAAAGGCTAACATATTCTTATGTAGCACCATGCACTGGAGCTTTGTAGATAAGAGAGATGCTCTATATCCCTGAAAGAACTGTACTGATGCTTGTGCTATCATTGCTTCTGCTTCAGAGGGACACAGCTGGGTTGTGATTATCATGTGTGTTCATCTCCTGGTGGATGTGACTACTGCACTGCAGTGCCACCTGTGAGTGCTACTACTCCCAAAATTTCCATTTCCATGAAAATACCCTTTTTTTTGGTCCTGCACAACATTCAGAGGCACAAGATTTTTTTCCCAGGGCCACTGGACTACTATCAAGTAGGGTTACACACAAGTTGTAATACCTTCTTCCCCCCCACCCCCAACAGACGTGTGTGCATGTACACACACACATGCACACAGCTTTCACATCTGCATGTCAATATCAGGCACTGCTTACTTTTAACCGTGACGCAACTGTGTGTATACGTCCTTCCTATTTTACATAGATATTGTACAGCAGTGGTGTCTACCTTTTGATGCTGTGGGGAAAATTATTGGCGTGGGGCCAATCCATGTGCCCAACTTGGCCTGCCTGCCATGATCTAGGCCCTGCTGCTTCCCTTGGCCTTATGCAGTCAACTGGACTGGGCTCTGTACCATCTCCACATGGCCCTTATGCTGCAGGATCAGGCCATGCACTAATGTATAGTGGCTGTGGGTCTGGAAATTTGGCAGCATAGGAAAAGTAATTGTTGCCTCTGCTTCCCCCACCACCAAATTTGCAGACCCTTGGGGGCTCTGTAGGCGAGATGCCATCACTCAGGCCAGGGTTTGAGCACCGTTGCTTTACAACAACGAAGAAGAAACAACACAACACGCCAACAAAGCTATGAGCATGCCCATCTTGATGTGTGTGGTCTCAGAACACCATGATCCTTAAGTGATTCTTGATGCCCACACTAAAAAGCAATTGCTGAACAAGGGGATAGCTCTCAGAGGTGATGGGTGTTGCCTCACTCCCCCACACCCAGTGACCCTATAGTGTGTTTGCATTCTTATGCTCAATGGGAGGTGATACAGCATGGCTTTCATAGTTGAAGGAAAAGGTGATAGCTCTGGTTAACCATATGGTAACCTATATGTTAACCCATTCCAGATCTTATATATGTCTCTACCCCTCTCCCATAGCACCCACCTAAAGGACACAGATCTGGTCATATGCTTTGGGACAACTAAGTACCAGCCTAGTTATGAAGGATCATGGTCTTGATGGGTCTGTTATAGCACCTCTTATTTAAAGATTCATGGGTAAGAGACTTGCTTTATTGTTACCTCCTCTTCCTACATAGGCAGCAGTCAGTACTGTGACCATAGAGCGTACAGTGGCTTCATATTCTCAGAGTCAGACAAAGATGGACTGGTTGGCTATTATTCCCCATGTTCATGCAGTGGATGCTACTGATGCTAACGCAAAGCCACAATCCATGCACAGGCTGTAGGTGTAAGTCCTTCCCTAATCTCAAACCTTTTTAAATCTACAAGCAACTGATCGTTGAGCATCTGCCCTGGAGAGCCCCAGTGCATGGACATACCATGTATTCGATTCAAAGCACCACACATACTAGCCATAAAAATGGTTTACATTATTTGTTGGAGCATTTTTATGTCAGGGTTACCTTTTTATGGTGTGTAGCACCCTTGCCATTTATGCCACGAGTAACATGTTAATCAGGTACCATGCACATTAGCAATCCTCCACCACAGTTCTGCAGAGATATCCTGGAATGCTGTCCTGGTTAGCCTGAACTTTGCATGCCACTGTTGTTTTTCCCAAATCTGAAGCCCTGACTCACCCATATTTGTGCTTAACTTCTTGTCCCAGAGATGTCAATGCACACTGTGCATGTGAATCCAAATCTGAACTGTACAAGTTCCCATGCAAATCCAAGGTGCAAGCCATTCAGCTCAAAAGTAAAAGAGGCCGTCTACACATGGCCTCAAAAAGGCGTTTATGGCCTCAAAAAACTACAGGGCGCAAATGGGTCATAATGTGGACTAGGTAGGTAGGTACCTATCATCACTTGATGCAGTGCAAGGCTAAGCAGCACCAGTTTACTCTAGTCTCCTCCCAGCAACTGAGCAGCCAAAGTAAAGGGCTGGAACTACCAAACACCTAGAGCAGAGGTTCCCAGATATTTTCTTATTGTGTACCCCCTTCCAGCCCATATACCCCTACCACCATACAATTTCTATTTTAACCCCTTAAATGCCAGTTATAATGAAAATTAAATACATGATTACAGATTTCTTCTGTATATCCCCCCCCCCCCACAGAGATGTCTTGCATACCCTGAGGGGCACATACATCACAGTTCGGGAACACCTGTCCCAGAGTACATGGCCTCAGTCTCAGCAGGCTCCCAACATTGCCATTGGCTATAGAACAGCTGCTCACTAAGCACCTAATGACAAGGTGCTGTAATAGCAAGAGCCTATTAGCATTCCAACAAGTAGCTAGTGCCTAAGGGGTAACTTTCATGGATCAGCAAACATAGATAGAAACTTTAATTAACCTAGAGCTACTCATACACTTTCCTGAATGATATACTTTGTCATTTTCTATGTACTCTTGCTGTTATCAGCTATTACCATGAAGCAGACCTCAGGAACAGTGGCTAGGTCCCTACTAGCTACCAAATTCTTGGTCCACATCTGGATTTTCTCCCTTCTGTGCCTGGAGCAGTTGCTGAAATAGAATGTTTCTTTTCTGTAATGTTCCTAGTTTGGATATGGGCTTAGAGAAACAGCAGAAATGAGATAATATTATT